CCTTTCTACACGGTGATTTGGAGGAGGTTATCTATATGGAACGTCCTCCTGGTTATTCTCTTGGTACTTCTGATCAGGTCTGTCGTCTGAATCGGTCTTTGTATGGTCTCAAGCAGGCACCCCGTGCCTGGTTTGAGAAATTTCAGTCTACTATCTCTGGTCTCGGTTTTCAGCAGAGCTTGAATGATCCGTCCCTCTCACTCGACACACTGCGGCTGGTATTGTTGTTCTCTTGCTTTATGTAGACGATATGGTCATCACTGGTTCTGATTCTGCAGGGATCACCACTCTCAAGGAAGGTCTTCATGCAGCGTTTAATCTTAAAGATCTTGGCCAGTTGTCGTATTTTCTTGGTCTTGAGGTGTCCCGGAATTCTACTGGTCTTCTCTTGAGTCAGCGAAAATATATTGCTGATCTATTGGCCGATCATCAGTTTCAAGATTGTCATTCGGTCTCCACTCCAATGGAAGCTAATCTTCGGCTGAGTAAGAATTCAGGCGAGCTCCTTTCTGATGCTACTGGTTACCGGAGTATAGTGGGTGGTCTTATTTATCTTGCTGCTACACGACCAGATATTTCCTATGCCGTACAGGTTGTCAGTCAGTTTATGGCATCTCCTCGTACAGATCATCTAGCTGCTGTTCACCGTATTCTGCGTTATCTTCAGGGGACTCGGGATGTTGGTATGTTCTTCCCTACTTCTGGTTCTTTGACCTTGCGTGCTTACTCCGACTCAGATTTTGCTGGCTGTGTTGATACTCGTCGCTCTACTTCTGGCTGGGCTGTTCAGTTTGGTTCATCTTTCATTTCTTGGCGCTGTAAGAAACAGAATAAGGTTTTGAAGTCTTCTACTGAGGCCGAATACAGGGCAATGTCTGATGTAGCTTCTGAACTAGTCTGGTTGCGCCGCCTTCTTCGGGATTTGGGTGTTCGATGTCCGCTTCCAATGGATTTATATGTGGATAACACTAGTGCTATCCGCATTGCTGTCAATCCCGTTCTTCATGAACGTACTAAGCACATCGAAATTCATGTGCATTATATCCGTGACCTGGTCGGCGATGGCACTGTGACTCTCCACTATGTTCGTACTGAAGATCAGCTCGCTGATGTGTTCACTAAAGCTTTTTCAACCAGTCGACATTGGTATCTCTCGAGCAAATTGATGCTTTGTGGCCAGCATCAATTTGGGGGAGGCTGTTAGCGGATTATATATTGGGTTTATGTATACGTTTTATGTACATAGTAATAGGCCCAATAGTTTTTCCCTTTTCTCTTTTACGTAAGCCCATGAACCTAAGCATGGACACTAATGACGAGTGCAGCTGGTGATCCTAGGGTTTAGAGTGCTTCTCCTTCTCCTTATATGTACAGCCGAATAAGGCAAGAAGGGTTAACACAAACACGATTAATAATATCAGTAGCAGAAGAGTGTTGAGAGCTCTTCCGTGGATTAGTCCTGGATCACTCCAGGGATACCACGTAAATCCGGTGTCTGTCTATTTTCATTGTTATTTCCGACTGTTTATTTCCGATTGTTCAACAAAATTGTCTTAGCTCAAACCTAGGTGCGATGGTGTTTGCTTCTTAATTCAACTTTCCATTCTTTGCAGGATCCGGGAACCAATGAGTCGGGAGAAGAGACTCGATCCACCTTGGACTCCCTGAATATTGAGTCAAAAATTGACCCTGACGATGATGCAGCGATTTTAAATGGCTCGACTCTTGCGGAACAAACTACCCAATCTGTGGTTGATTCAATGTCACCGGCTCTGCTCCACCCTCGACGACAGAGCATGAGAGCGCCACTGTTCCATCTGTTCCGACTAGTTCCTTATTGGTTGCTTCTGCTAGCCCCGCGCCTACTTCCGTCTTCTAGAGAAAACGCCACCATCCTTGCTCCAACCATGCCTCCACTCAAACCATCCAGTTTCGGGGTCCTTCCGAAATCTTGCCTGGACTTGGGTTGGAAGAAACAGCTGCTGCAAAGAGAGCTCAGCAACTTGCACAAAAATACATGAAGTGTGCTCATGACGCCCTCGAGCTAGAGAAACACAGTGCCGAAAGGGAACAACCCTCCAATCAATCAGGGTGCATCTCGTTGCTAACACGGCGCGCTTTAATGATCTGTCTTCTCAATATGAAGCTTGCTCTCGGCGGTGCGTAACTCGCGAACAAGAAATTCATTCAGATGAATCCAAAATTGCTGCGATGAAGGCCGAACTGACACAACTCGAGAAAGATGTGCAGGTCAAGAAAAATGAGTTGGCTGAAGATGTCTCCCACCGCACAACGATTCAGGCGTCCATCACTGCTGTCGGACGGTTTGCTCTTTTTAACAATCGGATTTTTCTATTTTAGTTCATCATCTATGCCGAAGAATTTGCTCTACCAGATATTTCAGTAACCACTGTCGTCCTGGCCGAACTTAATCCCTAACACAATGTCGCAGCGCTGCTTTGGCGTTTCAAACAGTGGCAGTATTGTGGCCCAAGACATCCTTGAAAATATGCTTTCATCGACGTTCTTTTGCCCAGCAATCTTGCGGCCACATCTTTTCACGTTGGCCAAATAATCCTCTTTAGCCAAATAGAACTCTCTCCCTCTCCTTTTTTACCATGTTGTTTTTCTTGCTCTCATCGACGCTGTTCTGGGAATTTATTCTTATTTATTGTTTCTCGTCAGCCTACAAAGTGGCCTCTTTTTCTCCCATCACAAACCCGCAACGCCGTTGGCTGTTGAGCAATATAGGAAAACAATATCTTTATCCCCGGTAGCAAAATTCATTAATTTTTTTTATTAACACGTAAGTAACGCAGGTTGTCTACTTTCCCAACAACGTGTTTGGGAAATTTTACAGTTGTGCCAAAACGCACCTGCGGCCAGTCCACCATAAACTGATTTTTCGAATCTACCGCTCGTCGACGACAACGTTGTTGCTAGATATAACGGCATTGCGAGTGCTTCACCATGCTAAATTAAATATTGTGCAACACTGCAGTCTTGGCCAAACGGCCCTACATCGTGCAGTTACAATTGACCATTACTATAAATTTGGTTCTTCTTTCGCTTCAAGCCCTAGAATGCAATATCTCATCATTGCTCTGAGACCACATGGTTTTAAACCTCCGGTAATTTTGGCCGAGAACGAGTGGGCCAAAATAACCCTTTGTTGTCGCAAAACGTACCCACTAATACGATAGCGTTTAATCTGGTTCTGTACCCACAACACTGCAGCAAACCATCTTCCTGCCAAGCAATGCGGGTATACTTCTTTTCCTATTCCCTTCCAACGTCGTAATCCCAAACCCAAAAGGACACTACTTCTTTCTACCCCGCCGCGGTAATTCCCAATAAATAGGTCACATGTGCCAACCCTAAACTTACCCGAGTAAAAGAAGAATTCCACCAACAACGATTCAATGAGCAGAAAACCGTACCTCATATTTCTGTGTCGTTGAAGTCACCGACATGTCATTGCAAGGATTTTCTTCGATCACCGAGTAAGTTCTACGATCTTGACTTCGCATTGATATTGAAGCCTTGTTCCCTCCCAGTTAATGTTATCTCCAACGCTTTAAGCGCCTCTTCCTGTTATGATGAATAGCCGTCGCTGCATTACTAACCCAACTCACCTCTTTGTGAATGCAGCCTCGCTGCGGCTCTCCTCCCGTTATCTCCGGGGGAGGGGGGGGGTGGGGGGAACGACGGGACTTCGTGGGAAACCTGGCCGATGCTGACTTCACTCTCGAAATAATATCGAAAGATGACAATGAGGAGGGCTGGCTTGGTCCACTCATTCGTGACCGCAACACTGCCATTATGGAGCTATTGGATGTTTTCCCAATTCACGAATCTCAGCTTCTGTTTCGTTTCCTCGTTATCAGCCCACTCTTTAAACGGAAGACCCGAGCACTCCCTACGTTGGCCATCTCGGATCCGGACTTTAAACGTTGTCATGGTCGACTGGCCAATGATGCATCGACCGTATCTCAATGGCGGGCATTAGGCCTCGAACGATTTCTCTCACTATGTTTGGAGCCGCCGAAACCTGATCCCGAGCTGTTTAAAGCCGCCATCTGCTTATGGTCAACGGAATCGAACTGTTTCGTGCTCCCATTGGCATCGATGCGATCATTCTGCTCGACATAGCGGCCCTGATTGGCATATCAATGTCGCGTGAGCAATCAAAGAGAGCCTTGGATCCAACTTCATTGATAACCTTCGGCCAATCTTACAAATCACTCTACAACAGCAATGCACCACTCACTCCTGGTGAGCCTATATTCGACAACGAGCGGGTGGCCTTTCTTCATTACTGGTTTGGCCGAATCGCACTTTGAACCCAACGACCCCCCACGGATGTGCTTACAACCTCTGCCATCGTCACTGGCGAATGTACCAATCTTGACGAAATTGTGCTCTGCCACCTCTATCGCGGTCTGTATACCATCGTGAACCGTATCAAAGAGGCTACAGATGAAAGTGGCACCCTCAGTGCTGGACCTCTATGACTATTACAACCTTGGATGCATGCTTATTTCCCGGCAACTCGCAGCCCTCTACCAGCTCTTCAAACGACAGTTCAAGATACCACCATGCTCACATATGGCCATTGTTTGGCTAAAGCAACTTCGCGAAAAGGGGATTTTACTAATTATTTTACCTTCTTTTATGAGGTCCGAGAGATCCCCAGCTTCACTCCTTTTGCATAACGGATATTCGGCCCCGCTTCATTCAAACTCATTTCTGACGAGCCCCCACCGTGAGGTGATCCCGCTACTGCCGCTTATGATGAATTCATCGAGGAGCGCAAACGTTACCTAACAGCTCGGAACCTCCTCTTTGCTCCTACCGGCTCAGAAGTACTCAACATTGAGACTTACAACCCTCAACTTGCAGATCAACAATTCAGCCTCATTCAAGCATGGCCTATGTTACCTCCCTCATCCTTGAATTTTCCAAAATTCCACCAACAACCCTTAAAGCTTACTGCGGGACAAATTATGGAGGTACGAGGTCACCAAGAATCCACACAATACTTTCCTCCTCATAAAAATGTGATGAATAAAGTCTCGCCCCAATTCAAGGATGCATGAAATTCACTGGCATCACGTATTTTCGGCAAGCCGTTATCTGATATCCTCGCCCGGCTTGCTCCTGACCACGATGGTGGCTCAACCGCCTCAGCATTCAATACTCTCTTGAAACGGCGAGCAGGTAAGATCCTCGTACTCATACTCCTCTTTACGCTTGCTGTGACATTCATATTTTAACTCCCGCATTACATAAAACTTCAATTATTGCTGTTATTGAGAATCGTCATCCATTTACTCGCCCCCCTCCATCTCTTCGCACAACTCCCGTCACCGAGGTTAGCTTTACCCTTACTTTCTTATCCTACCCGGCCATCTTTTGGCTAACATCCTTCTCACACCTTTGCTTCCTTTTGCAGGTAGACACTGACGATTTTGATATCGAGTATAGCTTCAATACTGCGATGGAATCATCAAGGACCTCTCTCCCCGCATCGTCTTCGCCCATGGCTGGACTTCGACACCGAGTCCAAGAAGCATTGAAGATGATGGATCAATTTCTTAGCATTCCTCTGGTGACTTCCATGAGTGACCAAACCATAGTATGGCCCGGCTCTGCTTGCAAGACTCTGGAGACTCTGAGCATTAACATTCCACCACTTAGTGCTGCTGACATGGCGTTCCTCCGCAAAGTGGGTAAAGACCTAGTGGAACGCGTGAAAGCTGTGGAACCAGCTCTGCAAGTGGCTAAAGCAAGTACGAAAATTATCATGCCACGAGCCGCACTCACTGCTCAAATGTCGACTCTCATCAAAGGAGTTGCACAAATGCGACATGAGGAAGCGACCTTGATCGCCACTGACCCCACTCGCGCAGAGATAGAAGCACAAGTTGAGCTGCAAGCAGCGCAAAGCTTTTTCACTCGGTTCTGCACTACTCTATCCCGCATTGCCCAGCAGCTCGCCAATTACGAGTCGTCCGACTCCTAAGAGAACTTCTTTTCTGCATTTCGGAATTTACCTTAGATTTTTGTTTAGGCATCGTTTCTCGGATTGCACACTCTCATTTCGTTCGATTCTCTTTCTCGTGTCATGTTAACTCGACCTATGAACAACTTAGTTTGCTCAACCAAATCGTTTATGCCAAACCACACTGTTAACCATGCCTACTTCTCGTGGCAAAAACGGCTTCGTTTGATAAGATAGGAACATTTTGGTACCGAACAACGGTACCGCACTGGCTGGACTCGAGTCAACCCTGCCGCTAGCCTTAAAGGCATTAAAATTTTTCTTTATTTGTAACGAAGTTGGCAAATTAGTTTATTTGTTGCATACTTTGCCATTCTCGTACTATTCAACCATGATGCAAGCTTGGTGGCCGACGAGGCCACGTTCTTATATTACCTGGTTGATCGTCATTGCCTAGATTAATGACCAGTTGCGTCCCATAGGGACGACACATATGGCTTTAAATATTTGCCATTTATCAAACGCTCATGCATCACTCCATCTAAGTCTTTCAGCAGGTACGCTCCATTAGGACGCACAGAATGTACCACAAATGGTCCACGCCGATTTGGCGACCATTTTCCAAACTTGGGATCTTTTTCCCCAATCGGCAAGTGAGCTTTCCAAACCAGTTAACCCTCCTCGAATGATTTGTGCCGAACCTTCTTGTTATAAGCTCTTGCCACTCTTGCTTTCTGTACTTGAAAATTATCGAGGGCGCGGAGCTGAAGTTCATCAAGATCGCAGAGCTCAAGCATCATTGATTCATGATACTCCTCAGGTGTTAACTCGTGCTGCTTCATATACCGGAGTGAGTTGACGGTCACCTCCATGGGAAGGAATGCTTCATGACCGTAAGTTAACAAGAATGGACTCACTCTCGTACTGCTCCGCGGGGACATCCTGTATGCCCACAACGCTTTTGATAAAATTGCATGCCAACGTCGCGGATTATCCTCAATCATTTTCGTCAAAATATTTTTCACGACCTTGTTGGATGCTTCCGCCTGTCCGTTAGCTTGTGCGTAATACGGCGTGGAATGGATAATTTTTATCCCCCACTCCACCGCGAACTCCATAACTTGCCCCCCAGTGAACACAGTTCCTTGGTCCGCCGTAATTGTTGCTGGCAAACCAAATCGATGGATAATGTGTTCTTGTATGAAGTAGTTCCTTGGTCCGCCGTAATCAGTTCCTCTTGGTTCGCCACCTTCAACGGTTTGGCCTCCACCAACTTAGTGAAGTAGTTAGTGGCCAAAATTATGAAAACATGTTTCTTTGACGATGGAGGATAAATCATACCAATCAAATCCATGGCCCACCCATCAAACGACCTCAGTTTGATTATGGATTTCTGATCCACCGCTGACGCTCTTTGGACGGGACCGTGACGTTGACAAGCTTCGCAGCCCTTGGCATATGCAGCACAATCTGGCCCGATAGTGGGCCAGTAGAATCCGTAGCGATGTAGAATCCATCGCATGGAAGGACCAGCTTGGTGAGCTACGCATATTCCTTCATGCACTTCTGCCATGGCTTGCAATGCCTGTTTGCCCCCCAAGCATTTCAACAATAACCCATCACGTCTGTGTTTATACAAAGTCCCATCCAAAACTACGTAGCTCCTTGCTCTAAACTTGATGACATGGTCAACAACCTTGTTCGGATCTTGCAAGTAAGACAACAGTGGTGCACGCCAGTCGTCGGCGTCTTTCTCTATTACGCAAACTTGCTCAACTCTCAACCTCTCCCGCAAGGGCGTAAGTGTTTGCACCACTACTGTTCTACGACATTGCTTTTCGCAAACTCTTTAAATCCCGAAGCCATTTGTGCAAGATAGTTGGCTTCGCTATTGTCCATTCGAGGAACAAAGTTGATCGCCATACTGTCGAAGTGGGCAGTCAACGACAATACATGGCCCAGATACGTTTCTAGAACGCTATTGATACAACGAAAATCCCCGCAGACTTGATGAACCACCAACTGTGAATCTCCCTTAACATCCACGTTGCGGACTCCAAGCTTAATGAGCATTTCCAGCCCGACTACCAAAGCTTCATATTCAGCTTGGTTGTTGGTGCAAGGAAAATCCAACGAGAATGCAAAATGCATGGCCCAGCCTGATGGTGCTTTCAACATCACGCTACCCCAGCACCGCCATGAGTTTTGGATCCATCAAAATACAGGATCCATGGCGTTATACCAACCTAGCAAACTTCCATGGGATTGCTTGGCATTTCAATGTAGGGATGATCTGCCAAGAAGTCTGCCAATGCTTGCCCTTTTATGGCTCGTTGAGGTACATACTCTAAATTAAATTCAGACAGAGCCAAAGTCCACTTGCCAATTCGTCCGTGAATAATTGGCCGATATAGCATGTATTTAATCAAGTCTGTTTGGCAAATGAGTTGTACCTGGACAGAGACCAGGTAGTAGCGTAGCTTTGTACAAGAAAAGTACAACGCTAAACATAACTTCTCTATGGGGGAATACTTTCTCTCGCCCTCGTTCAGAAGCCTACTTAGATAATAAATGGCATGTTCATTGCCTGCTTCGTTGTCTTGAGCCAACATACACGCCACACAAGTGTCTGTGGCCGACAAGTACAACTTCAGCGGCACCCAGTGGCGGATACATGGACATTTAGGGGTGTCCCGGGACACCTCTATAATTTGGAAGAATGATTATCCAACCCACGGCTGTAGTTTCGTATGGAGAAAAAATTATAATTGGTAATTCGGGACACCCTTAAATTTGAAAAAATAATAATACTACTCTCGATAGTCGTTTGTGTAAAATTAAAAATTTATGAATGGTAGTTTGTGTTATTCAAACTTAGGACACTATTATTATTAAACATATTCTTTAGGTTGCAACTCAATTCTTGTTCTATTTTAACACTAAGAAATTGTAAAAACATTATTGCGTATCCCCAACTATTTTCAAGACCTAACAACTAAACTAATTTTGGGTTATCCTTAATTTGAATTGATTTTATAGTTACACAGCAAGAGTTAGAAGAGTCTTTCAACTTTGAGATACATAAAGAACAAGGTTAGAATTTGAATATGAGATCAGTTCATATATTATTGTCTAGTATGATATATAGATTTGTTGAGCAGTGAAGACGTCGAGTATATTTTATATTTTTTTTCAGAATATGAAAGCACGTCTTGGCCTTTTGTTAAAATTTGTACTAGTCATGTATTTTCTTATTTATGAATTTTTTATTTTATTAAAGTGGACACCCCTATAACAAATTTCTGGATCCGCCACTGGCGGCACCCCTGCTTTGGGAGAGTTCATTACCGGCGGTGTTGCCAGGTATCTCTTGATATCATCAAACGCACGTTGAAGTTCTTCCCTCCATACAAACTTGTCTTTCTTCTTCAACTTCAGCAATGAGGAAAACACTTGAGTCCAGCCAGCACAATTCGAGATAAATCTTCGAATGTAATTTACCTGGCCGAGGAAACGTTGCAACTCTTTTTTACTAGATGGTGGTGCGACATTGATGATGGCTTTTGTTTTATTGCCATCTACTTCAATTCCACGTTGGTTTACCAGAAAAACAAGAAAATTTCCTGCACTCACACCAAACGCACATTTGAGCGGATTTAATTTCAACTTATGAACACGCATACGCAGAAATGCTTTGCGCAAATGAGCAAGGTGGTGGTTTGTCACCTTTGATTTGACGACGATGTCGTCCACGTACACTTCGACAAGCTCGCCAATCAAGTCATGAAATAATGCATTCATGGCTCGTTGGTAAGTTGCCCTGGCGTTGGCCAATCCAAATGGCATCATGATCCACTCGAAACAGCCATTGGATCCTTGACACCAAAACGCCGTTTTGTGTACATCCTCCTCGGCTATGTATATCTGATTATAGCCCGAGTAACAGTCCATGAAAGAAAACCTTACATGCGTGGTCACGGCATCGATTAACATGTCATCCACCGACATGGGATACAGATCTTTCGGCGTAGCATTGTTCAAATTTCTAAAATCCACACAAACACGTATCTTGCCATTTTTCTTTCTAACAGGCACAGTGTTCGACAACCACAACACATATCTAGCCGTCCTGATAAACTTAGCCTTCATTAAACGTTCAATTTCCTTTTTCACTTCAGGCAAGATATCATGCGAAAAACGCCTAGGTGGTTGTCTATGTGGCTTATACCCTTCTTAAATTGGAAGTCTATGTACAACTAACTTCCTATCAAGACCAGGAATTTCATGATAATCCCATGCAAAGCAGTCTTTAAACTCTTTAAGGAATTCAATTATATCGTACCTGTCAGACTCTGGCTAACCGGCACTGATGAAGGTTGGGCGTGGATCCTCCTCCGTGCCAAGGTTGATCTCCTCTAAAATTTCACATGCAACCAGGTTGCTTTTCTTCTCCATTTTGTCACTCACAACCTCGTCGTTGGTCGGCCAGTCATCATCGTCGGGAACACAGTCGGCCATCAAGAGAGGCTCTATACAGACAAGCCTCTGTTCACACTGATAGACGACCAACTTCTCCCGCAAGGCCGTGATTTCGGCCTCCACCACCTTCTCTCGAGGTGGTTCACTCATCATTGACTTGTTCATCATACTTCAGTGGACCATCTAATGTGATCATCGATGGTCTCACGATTTCGGACAATGGGTCTAAACACACCTTACTCAACACCTGCGCACTCGACACTATGACGTTGGACGTTCCTCCATCCCCGCTCCTGATTTAGAGTGGTCCAAAATCTCCATGGTAAAAATAGGCTTCAGCCACGTTGGCCCCAACGGCAAACGACTTCATTCCAGAGCATCATACACTGATGCAGCGATGAAGGAACACACTTGTTGGCATGGATCCAATCTCGGCCAAGTACTGCATTGTAGCTTATCATTCCATCTACCACGAAGAAAGCACTCATCCGCTTCTGTGATCCAACTCCCAGGACAACTGGGAGGATTCCCCTAGCAGAAGTGGACCCGCCATTGAAACTTGTGACAAATACTTCCGTTGGGATCAAGTCAT